TTTGCCACTCATGCAGGGTCTGTCTCAGTCCCCTGGAAACAACTTTGTGAAGCACAGGGGAATTCTGAAGTGCCTGGGAGACACTGTCAACTCCCTGGAGTTTCCAGAGAAATGTGAATAATAACAGTTCTGGTCTGGTCCCTCCTAACATTGTAAGTCATTGCAGCTGAAGGGGATTGTGCCCTTCACTGGCCATCAAGCCCTGCACTCTGCTCAAACCACAGGCACCTTGACTTCTCCAGCTATTCCTCTCAGCACAGCACAGCTCAGGTGCAGTGCACACTTGGGCACAAAGATGGAAAACTTGAAATTAGTGCCACAGCAACTGCAGCAGCAGCAGTGACAGCCCAGCAGGAAAAGGGAAGGAATTATTGAGCAGATCGAGCAGCTGCTCAGGCAGGATCCATCAATTTGTGCTATTCAGGGAAACTTTCCATAATGATAATACCCATTTTTTAAAAAGCCACTACCAAGGAAATAAAGAGTGGAAAAATAGCCTAAATGAAAGGAGTGAAGCAGGCCCAAGGGCTTTGCAGAGTATGGCTCTAGATCTTAAACAGCTCCTAAATTTTGGAAACAAAATGGGTTAGGCCTTCAGCTGAATGTAGTGTCAGTTCTGAAAAACTAAAAAAGGCTGGGTTGAAATAAGCCAGCTGAAACTCTGGTCAAGGGAGAATGGGGACTCTGTTGCTCTTGGCATCCTGTTCATGCTGAAGGATTCCCATACCCACAGACCTAGCACTAAAAGCAGTCCTGTGTCTGAGGTTTCTGACCTGGCTTACATGACCACTCCCAGGTTCAGATAGGGCTGTTTCTGCTCCCCAGCTCCTCCTGGTCCAGGCTCCAGACAGACAGACAGGGAGGCTGAGTGCAAGGATGGCCCAGGGCCCACAGCTTACACAGCAGAGCTGGAGGGGGGGGGGATCATCTTTCCCCACCACCTTCCTTTCCCAGTTGTCATCCTGGTGCTGAAGTTTGATCTGCAGGCTGGGCACATTCCAAGCCTCTGATGGCAGCTGTAGGGCCAGGAACAGCTACTACCTATCAGTGGCAGGTTCCAGCACAGTCCATGCACAAATAGAACAGAAGAGGAACCAGATCCTCAGCTGCTGCCAGCTGGCATTGTTCCACTGCCTGCACCAAGAGAGCTCCTTGCACAGCCAGGAGTGCTCTGTGCTGGGCTCTGCTGGGTCTGCACATAAGGAGAACACGTTTATTTCTCTCCCAAGCCAGCATTTCCAAACTGATCTCTGATAGCTGCTGCTCGCTTCTGAGATGCAGAAAATTGTTCTGGGCCCCACCTTGTGCCTTTTCTGAAGAATTGGTTTTAATCTCTGTGCTGCTGTTTCATTTTGGGTGTGACTTGAGCAGAGATTTGTGTCACTGGGATGAAGATGGGTCAGAGGGTCTCTGGATGAAGAATAATAACAAGTACAGTTTCTTCATTACTTCACCAAGATGAAGTATGTGTAGTAACTCAGCAATACAAGCGGCACTGTGTTGCTGCTGGCAACGGGACGTGGCTTCCCAGTGGATGAACTTTTGGCTTCCCTCACCTCTCCAGAGCTGACCAGGCTCCAGGGAAACGGGAAAGCCCCGACCG